TCAGCAATCATCCAATCAATCATCTATAAAAAGCGAAATAAAAAGGCAAGCAGTAATCCTCAGCGCACTAAAGCACAAAGGTGTGCAAAACAGGTAATATGTCCAATATTATTTATGTCACAGAAGAGCTTCAAAGATGGATTTGCGCGGCCGGAAATCCAATGAAACAAACTCGTTTTGAAATTCTCAGCGCCACCCAACATATTAGGAAAAGGTCCAGAGTGTTCATTCAAGAAAATTAAAATTTGTTTGAACATTTACTCCAGTAAATTAGTGTCGATTATAATATTTGCTTACAATATAAAATGTGTATGGATAGCAGTGATATTTTTGAAGTCATTTAGTTGGAAAATGATGAAATTATGACAGTTTAAATTTCAAATCTAGATTCAGCATATCAAAATTACTAACGTTCCTAAAATTTGCGTTTTGAAGTTCAACCGTTTAGAAATAATTTTCAAAAAACCCTACTACTGGGCCCCTCTTCAAGAAGGCTCTGTTAGAAAGCATTTGTCCATACATGTTTATTTGAAAAATTAATATTCTTTTTGAGAGCAGATCGCTGTTTCAGTTTGGCCACCTAATTTCGGGACACCCTGTATACATTTGCGTTTATTTGTGCCTACTCTATTTTATTCTAGTTTTTTTATTGTAATTAGTAATAATTTAGTTCTATTGTAAAAGAAAAACAAATTTTATTAAACGTGGCGGAAAACATATCTACTTGTAATAACAGCAATCAATTCTTGCTTTTCAGTTTCTTAATTTATTTTTATTTAATATTTATTTATGAGATAACAGTAGTCATTAAGTTGGGGAGCAATTAAATCTCTTTTCAAAATTGAATTTAATTTTAAAGAGTAGGTATAAAACCATAAATTTTAAAAGTCGTTTATTAATTTGATTCGTTTAATATATTTTAAGATTTACATTAATTTTATAAGGTAAGGGAAATGGCATACAAAGCCAATCAACTATAATATAATTTGTTCAGTATTAAATAGATATCACCATTAGTTGTTTGAATTACATTGATTTTAAAAGTGTAGATTTCAATAGAATAAATTAAATGGATTTAAAATGAGACTTAAAATATTTTATAAAATGAATAAAAGAGTTCACTGCTTATTTGCTTACAATAAGAAAAAAATTCTAACTAACCCAAACAGCTGACTGAAATACACGCCAATTTGCTAATTATCGATCATCTTCATTCTTATTATTAATTCAATTATCGTTCACTTCAAAAAGTTCAAAAACAACCGGCAAACAATTTGAAAATTTAGTAGAGTTTGTGGAGGAAAGTAAAGATTATTTTCAAGACCATTTATCAATTGTTCTAATAAAGCTAACCTTATAAGACCGCAAAAGGACAAATTTTTGTTTTAAATTAAAAACAGATTACAGCTAAAACACAAAACTACGCAATTGTTTTAAGTATTCCTCCGAGGTTAACTTCGAGAGACGCTCGTTAAGTTCGAAAGCGGCATCTGATTTGATGTTGTTATTCTGAAGCGCTATTTCTAAATATAACGTTCGTCGATAGCGTGCGCCTGTTATAATATAACGGTTTGACTGGTAGAACACACCTGTTCGAGCCACATAACGTGTTTGACGAATAACATGCACGTTTAAGTTAACGTGAGTGATGCAGCACAGGGCTGAATGATGTTAAAAGCTCGGATTTCAACAGCTCTCTAGAAGTTGTGCAGGTTCTAATTCAAATTGATCAAAATCAAAACATATTTTTAAGAAGGGAATTAAGACAATAATTGGATTGAAGAATTAGTTTACTAAAAAAAGTAATTAAAGAAGAGCATTAGCAATTTTTGCATTAAGTAATACATCGTCTCAAACCAAGTAACCCAATAAACCAATATTTTATTACAATTCTTTTTTTAACTTGCATATATTCCATATCTTTATTGTGTTTATATGAGATTTTATAAATATTTTCACGAAAGTTCAACGGTCAGCAAACAAATGTCAGAAACTGACCTGTACAATGTGCAAACTATAATTCCTTCCCATTGATTATTATTCGTTGAAAATGATAATTATGTAAATAAAGCAGTACAACCAGAGCACTACATGTTAAAGCATAGTAGATGAAGTTATTCGCCACCAAATATGGTTTGGTTTGCCGTGATTTGCATTCTGATTACAATTAAATTATTTAATTGTCTGTTAATTGCAAGATGTAAAAGCAAAGTGTGTTTAGTAGGTAAAACTGCTCTAATTACTGGAGGAAATTCAGGTAAATATTTTACTTTCACTAACTTATCCATTAATTAATGTTTGGACAGAAATGCATAATCATTTAGACGGCCTGTTGGAAATTAAATTATAAATCAAACTAAACAATATTAAATTCAAAGCCCGAAAATATGGAGTTTTTGTACATTGTTTCGTTATCTCTTTTCAACTTTGGACTCGGTATTTACAAAAATAGTGCCAAATACCACCTGCGTTTTTTCGGATCATTTCTAAATGTATATGGCCCCAAAAACTACATATAATAACTAATAATTTTTGTAGGTGTTACAAAAAACTGTGATCTGACTAATTTCTCACGTAGCATTTAGGTTTTAAAAAAGTTAAAAGTAATATAAACAAGATCAGCAGAGGAAAACGAGGAGTAATTTACTCTCGAGGTTTCAGAAATAGATTTAATTCACTGAAACTTGTTTTTTTTATTAATTTTTTAAACCTTATATGGTTCGATAAGAGTGTCTATAGGTTTTAAAAGTTCTTGTAAAATGAGAAACTTTCAGACATAATTCATGTTTCGGAGCTATTTTATCGGAACAAAAGAGAAAAATGCATCAAAATCTTTAAAAGTATATAAACATATCAAGTGTCCCAAAAACATCGTAGGATATCATTCGACTTCTACATTTTAATTATTTTCAGTTAGCGGTAGTTTGCATATGTAAAACAATAGATAAATGAACAGTTTACGTTTCTTCTGCAACTTGGGTAGTCCGTAAAAAAAATATCTAGTTTTGTATTAAAATAAGTTGCAGATTATTTATACAAAAATGTGACATTTTAATTTTCATGTTAATAAACTTTTATAATTAACCATTTACAAGACAACCGGAAAGGTTTGGAATTGTCAGATAAAAGCACATATATTTAAATTGTGATCGTATACTTAGTTTCTTTTCAGTTTCTCTTTTTTGTCAATTTAAATCCAGAAAATTTTTAGGTGCAAAAGTGAATTAAACATTTTAGTAATTATTGCAATTTCAATTTGACGGATTGTGATCAAATGAAGATTGGTGCGAAAGAAAAGTAGAATTTATTATTCTTAAGAAAACAAATATTAGTACACAAGTTTATTGAGCTTCTATTTATTATTTTACCGATAAGCCACATCGGCATATTGCCATGTTCAACAGTAGTAGAGACAAAAAAACGGATTTTTTTAAAGACAAAAACAAGACTCTTATTTTTCAAACTACAGAACTACAACTACAAAAAACCATGATTCGAAAAGAGAATTATGGAATCTCAACAGAGAATGAACGAACACTAAATTAAAAATTGTACAAAATATTAATTAAAAGGAAACATCTGGCTGAAGAAAAATAAGAAGAAAATATTGCATAAAACATCGAAAACTAGTTTGTAGAAAACTAAACTAAGCATATGTATTAAACATTTTCAGATATTCAATGTGTTTCAAGACAATGGCGGGAAACTTCTCATTGAACACCCTGTATATTTCGACATTAACAACAGTATTTTCTGCAGTTGAATCTAATGTTCAGTTTGAGCTCAATTAGATGGTTTGAAATAATATCCAAAATGTCTATTATTAAGTAAAGTTTTTACATGAACCACATTTGCACGGTTCCAACGACACAACAAATATTTTTTTTAATGATCAACAAATTTAAAATGTTATTATTTACATGTACCTAGTTAAATATGGTGATAATTCACTCTTAAGGACGAAAAAGAAGCTCAAAAAGCTCTGCTAACCAGAAAACCTAAAACTTTCAGCCTCAAATTCAAGGAAAAGACAACATGACGATATGAATAAACTCAAACAAACGGTGATGCATAAACTTAAACAGAAACAAAAGCAGAAACGCAAACATAACCGAAAAACTAGAAGTTTCTTAAACAGCGGCACATTGAGCAATTAATTTATAAATCAAACACTATAACAAAGCACTAACGAAAAGAAAAGTATGCAGTAAAATTTGACTTGAAAAATGTAACTTGAAAGTACAACTATTAAGATTAGATCAGGACAGTAGAACCAATATTAGCCGGAAGGCAGCAACAAAACCCATATAAGATATTTGTCAGCAGTGTATACATTAAATTTGGTCAAATAAATATTCAAGCCAGGACTAAACAATAAATAAGAAATTGTTGAAAATTAGAATAAAGGACTCGGATAGCAGACCTCTCAAAGAAAGGATGATATTAACACAATCATTTTCTGGTAGTTTTGCTAGTTTTTTAAGTAGTTGGAATAATGCTGTATAAAAATGTTTATTCTCAGGATTAGGACATCAATTAGCTAAAGAACTAGCATGCAGAGGATGCAGTGTAATAATAGCTGATAAAGTAGATGCAAGACGCACGGTGGAAGATCTGATCAAAGAAACGCATAATCCTAAAATATCCCATCGAATAGTAGACTTTGGTTCGTTTGCATCAGTACAAAAATTTGCAGAAAACTTGAAGAACGATATTGATCAGTTGGACATTTTATGTAATAATGCTGGTACCGGAATATTGACAAATGATTTAACAGAGGATGGTGTGCAGAGTATGATGCAGATTAATTACTTCAGTCACTTTCTATTGACTCATTTATTACTCGGTAAGTTTAACGTTATTGGAAACTGTATAAATAATTTTGAATGATTTCTAGATTTGTTACTAAAATCAACGCAAGGCAGAATTGTGCATACAAGCTCCATGGCCGCTTACCTAGAGGACTTATCAGAGGAGAACTTAAGCTTTAGGACTTACAGCTATAAAACTCCTCTGTGTTTAGCTGCATATGGGAACTCAAAATTAGCCCTGGCTATTATGTCAAAAATATTGTCCGAAAAGCTACGAGACACTAGAATTACATCAAATTGTCTTCATCCTGGTATTGTTAAAACCAAAATTTATGGATGTACATTTTCAAATAAAATTGTAACGGGATATCTCCTCTGGGTTTGGGCTATGCTTTTTGGAAAAGTAAGTAAACTTTGCTCTAATTCGTTGAAAACTTCACTTGGTTCCTGAAGAACGTTAATCATTTGCTGGATCTTGCTGACCGGAAAACTCAAAGCTTTAAATAATTAAGTATTTAAGAACATCACTTTGCTCTATTAGCCCTACAGGTTTGGGTAATAATTCAGAAAAATTTCTCTCGATTTGATACTTTAATCGAATCCAGAAGATTGCTGAAAGAAAAGCTGAATTTTTATTGTATGTGGTAAAGCATTGATAATAATTAGATAAAAACAAAAATACTATTTTCAGAATATTGAAGAAGGCGTGCAAACCATGTTGAATTTAGCTTGTGCCGATGAACTGGAAACGATATCAGGGGAATTCTTTATGGAATGTAGGTCAGTGCTTCAACCAAGCAAAGTATATGACAAGAAGTTCTGTACAGCGATTTGGAATTTATCAGAGAAGTATGTGAACTTGCAAGAAAGTGAAAAGATCGAAGCTGTCATCAATCGTAGTAAATAATAATAATGAAAATGTTTGCGTAATGTTTTTAAGATACATATAGTTGACTAGTATATTAAAAGAACTGCAAATGAAAATATTCTAATTACAGTTACAAAAATCTGCAAAAGCTCAAAACATTAAGTAGCTTATGTTGATAATTTCATACACAACTAGCAGAAATATCTGCGAATGTTGTGTATGAAAACGAATGCGAAAAACAATTCTTAATATTAGAAAGTTGAACAACACAAAATGCGTGCTAAGTTGCGGACAACACAAAAATTTATGAAAATGAATAACAGCATGTTCATAATTAGTATGAGTATGTAATCAACAGCCACCCAAGAGTATTACGGGTTAAAGTATTACGGAAAAAGTATTTAACACACCAAATATGAAATTTAAATTTCTTGAAATTGGTGATTTCTCGGGTTTTTCTGGGCAGGAGGGAAAATTATGTTTTACGAGAGGCCAAAAACCCATAAAATTCACCAGTTACACACCAAATATGAAGTAAAAATTGTGGATTAACAGTCCAATAGAAAGGAATATACCAAAAATATGAAAAATATTCCTTTCTGAATGAGTTCGGTGATGACATTAGTTTTTCCGCCAAGGGTTGTAGCTTGAAGTTGCACCTTTAAAAGTTGTATTCGAGTTTTATTTATTTCTTATATACACAATTACTGACAAAATCCTATAGAAATTTGTATTCAATAGCAAAACAATGTGGTGTAAAAATATTGCGGATGATTTAAATAGATGATTAAAAAGGGAATAATTAATAAGAAGAAAACACCTACTCAAGGAATACAGATGTTAATATTAAGATGTGTTGCCTACTTATTAAAAGCCATTTTATTTCCAGTTACTTTTATTAAAATTCTGTTCAGAGTTGAATACAAAATATATCCAAAATAAACATCCTGCTAGACTTTCCTGTGCTTTAATTATTTCTGAATTATTTCTACAGCCTTCTTCGGCTTCAGGTGAACTAGGCGGGCATAAGATGGTTTGAGGGACACTTGATGTTACGGCTAATTAGAAAAAATACTGCAATCTGAATAAGAGTATGAAAATGTAAACAAATTAAATCGAAGTTAAAGTAGAAATTATATTAAGAAAAACCAAAGCCTGGTTAGAAGGATTATAAAAAGATACTATATTTAACAATGAATATGTCTAATGGGAACAAACTGTAATTTTTTATTGATAGTTGAATCGTAATTCATAAAAATTATTAGGCCAAGGCCTTAAAAAATATAAATAGGTGAAACCAACTCGCTAAATCGACAATTAAGAAAATATAGAAACAGAATTAAGCAAATGTGAAAGAAGCACCACAACATCTCCAAACAATTTAGTATGAGATTTGGGACACTTTTCCGAAGCAAGAAAAGATATTACATCTAAGCCTTTCAGCTTTTGTAAAGCTGCGTTTGTTATTTACTTTCTTCGTGCTAAAGCGAAAAAGCTTAATATAGCGTTTGCCTCTATTGTACATACACTGCATTTTTATAAGTTGGTTTTAAATTTGAATAGCAAAACACGAATAACATGTTTGTAACCACCAAACATCTATAACTCATACGGTCTTTCATTTTCTCGTGCTTTTTTGAATTACACGAAAACCAATTTTCTAAAGTTTCAAATAAAAACAGAGAAAGAGAGAATATTGAAAACCAATCAGATTTTAAATTGGTTTTTGGTGGTGTTTTTTTTGCGATCCACACATGTTCCTAATTCCATATTCGTAGATTGAAATTCTCCAGACCCTGCATAAAGAGACGCTAATAAATTATGCTTTTATATCCCCTTACTCTCTTTGTACAGAAAAAAGGCGGCGAATTATCGCTTGGCTTTCGACGTTTTATGTTCGATATGGATTTTTATTTATTTCATTATTTTCAAGTAGGTGCGGTTTTTAAAACACGTTTTCACAAGCACATGTTATATGCTAATTGAGATCATATTTAAAAAAATATTGTTTCAGTCTTTCAGTTCGAATCTGGCATTGAAAACACAGTCGTCGAATTATTTATGGAACAGAATTTGCAAAAAGTCTTCCTAGAATAGAATCTTCCAATCGGTCTTCCTAGAATTCACGTTTATGGTCCTTATTCAGTTAATTAATTATTTCATATCGACAACACTTGGCGAAAGTTGAAACTTGATTTTTTTGGAGTTGGCGCAGTGCTACGCAAATGCTTTTGTACGCCAACCCAACGCACGGGCGCAGTAACTCATACATGCAAAAAATTAGCTACAGTTTCTTTTAAAGACTGGACGGTTGCCGATTTTCATTTGCACTTGGACTGTTAAACAGTTAGGAAAAACTCTTCAATAGTAAATTGACAGTAATTGTTTTTAGAATTCTAGTAGAGTTTTGAAATTTTCTTGCCGACTAAGTGAGATATGTTCAAATCAATGCAGGCAGAGGCTTATCCAATGACTCAAAGTAGACCAATTTTCATTTGCCCCTGAACTATTTACTCTTGATGGGACAGAAGAACTTCTAAATTTAATTTAAAGATGCTTCTTTAAAGACTGACCACCTCATTACAAATGCTTAAAATGTTTTGGAAAATCGGTCGAAACTAAGTGAGTGGTATAGAAAAGAAAGTAGGTGGAAGTTTTTCGCCGATTTTCGCTTGCTCCTGGACTAATAAATATTCACACTGCAAAACAGTTTCCAACACTATGTGGCAAACAATTTTGTTGTTTTTAAAACGCTTTTACAATTTTATCCAATATTAACTGCGTGAGATATGGCAAGTGAAAACAGACCGAGCGCACTGAATCAATCAGCGTTAGTCAATGTTTATTTGCCTCTGGACTATTAAATAGTTCCGCTGCAAAAGATTGTGCATAATTCAGTGGAAGATAATTTCAAGCCCTATAAAACGAATGAAGATTTTTGGAAATTTCGCTTCCAGAAAGTGCGAGATCATCGAAAGAACTTAGAGAGAAGTTTACATCTACCAATTTTTATTTGCCCTTGGACTGGAAAATATGTTGGCAACTAAATTAAAAATACTTGCATTGTGTTTGAAAACCATCAGGGTTTTATCTATAAAATGTCCACTAAACGAGTCAAGAGCAAAGTAGTATATCCAAAACTTGCCAATTTTCATTTACCTGTGGACTATTAAGTATTGAAGGCACAAAAAACTGTCGAAGAACAGTTGGAAGATGAATTTATTGTCTTTAAACGACTTTTCGAATTTGTGCGATGACCCAGTAAAAAAGAAAGTTACGGGCCAAAGAATGTAGTCAGAACCAACTGCAACACGTTTACGAATTTCCATTTGCCCCTGGACTATTAACTTTCAGTTCTGCAAAACAATGGTTTCGGCATAACTTGAAGAAACTTTCTTTGTCTTGTAAAAATTTAAAAATCGCAGTTCACCTAAATGATTTATGGAAAATTTTAACCATTCAGAACTTCTATCAATAACTAGATTTTTGTCCAATTGAATTCGCCTGTGGACGATTTAAATACAATTTTATTATCTTTCAACGACTATTTAAATTTTTGTGGCGACCGCTTAAATAAGAGAAATATGGAAACTAGTTTACGCTTACCGTTTATTCATTTGCCGCAGGACCATAAAACTAAAAAAAGTGCTGTGCAAATGGCTTTATGCGCCAACTCAACGCACCGGCGCAGTAACAACTCAGTTCCATTCCTAGCAAAATAAATTCTTTTTTATTAAGTTGTTTTTCGATTTAGTTTAAGGGCTATTTATTTTAACAATATTTTTAGTTTTTTCAAAAGTTCATTCAATCTATTGATGTTTTCCGCGAAAAACTTTAAAATACATTTTATTAGAACACTCGCCTCCTTCGTCGTTTCGTAAAAAGTATTGAAATCCTCTTCCGGCTTCAAATTTAGGACAAAAATCAAGTATTTTTTTTATTAAAAAACGAACAGATCAGAGACATACAGAATATAACAGTTTATATTAAATTATTTGGAAATCTCATCACCCCCATCCCTCTCAAGACTTTAGAGTTGGTTTGAAAACTGTGGATTTTTAGTTTTGATTTAATATTTTTCTTGCTTTACTTTGTACTCAAAAACGCTCTACTTTGTAGAGTTTCACTTAAAAATACTGACAATCTTGACATTTTTAACGCGAAAAATTATAAGACAAATTTATAGCTTTGAAGGAATTTTAGAAAAAACTTTTCAGCGTCGCATTCGCGATAATAACGAAAATAAGTTTTTTCTTTTTTTCGGAAAATTATTTATTTTATTACTTACTTATTATAAAGATTTTTAATCGAAAGCGCAAAAATCCATTATTCCATGCTGATGCTTTTCTTCTTTTCCAACAATCATGGGGTCTTTTCAGTCAAAAACGACAAATTAATTTTGTTAGAAAATTGTCCTCATGCAACGCTTTGGAGAAGATTTTAGAAAACCCTTTTGAGCTTCGAATTTGGCACAAAACCAAATCATTTCATTTACTTTTTTCCAAAAGCAACTAAGATTATCTTGAATAAAACGACCAGAGAGCAGACGTTTACAAAAAACCATTTTGGAAATTCGCTACCCTCATCGCTCTGAAGAATTTTAAAGTTTATTTAAAGTTTCTGGTCTTTCCAGTTTTAGCAAAGCTTTTCTGAAACAATTCTTTTTACGCAAGAAACGTATTATGTTCTAAAATTCTACTTAAAAACACTGAAAATATTTCGGTAATTTGAACACTCCATTCCTTAACCGCTTTGTGAAGATTTTGTAAAAACCCTAATAATTTTTTCTAGGGTTTTTCCCAAAAATATATTTCCGAACAGAACAACCGAACTATAATCAATTATTTGAAAAATTCGACTTTTAGGTCAATATATTAAATAAAACTTTTTGTAAATTGTGAGCAAACTGAGAGTCTTTGATTCAAGAACATTAAAACATCGATTTTACAAGAAAACTGGGCGTATTCATAGTTTGGTCTTCTTTTCCTTCATTTGGTGTCTTTTTCGAATACCCGTTTTACCTTTGAATTTGGGACAAAATCCAAACTTTTCTTGTTTTTTTCTTCGAAAAAAATTAGGTTTTCAAAAAACGATCAGAGAAACCAAAGGCATATGATCAACTAATTGGAATAATTTAGTTGGAAAACTCATTTAAAACCTCATCCCTCTGAAGAATTTTTGTTTCTTCAAAATTTCCGGTTTTTCTCGTTTTAGACCAAAAACCAGAAAAACCGCGTTTTTAAGTTATTGTTTCTACAGAAAAGGTAACTCAATGAATTTTAGGCGTTGGAGCAGTGCTGCGCAAATTGGCTTGGTACTCAGTAACTCAGTTCCCATGCTGAAAAAACGATACTCCTAATGTTAAAATTCCAGTCAAGGGTTTCGTACAGATTTCGTATCGCTTTAATAAATGCGTTATGACTCATTAGCCGATGAGTTATAACCCATTAACACAGAGACTGGCAACAACTCAAAAGGGCAACTCAACACAGTATTACCCAGGCCTACTCCAGATGTGTCTCCATTAGACTCTTTGTAAGTTCTACTGAACAGAAAAGTTTGCCAGCCAATTATCTTTAACTCATGTTCAAAGATAAGACATCAAAAGAATGGTCCGAAATAACTCAAGCTAATGCCATAAGAAAATTGATCCATATTAAAATATTATAAAATGAAACAATGTAATCAATAGCATTTTTCTCTGATTTTACAATTTTACTCATTTTTAAGTCAATTAAATACGAAACATTTTAAAAGACGTTTTGCAATTGTTTTCGTTTAGTTGGAATGAAAAAATGTATTTCCTTTGGTCTCTGCATACTTAAAATATCTCTGTATACGCAAAATGACCGTTTGAAACGTCAGAAGTTATTAAAATGTCCAAACAATGCCTGGAAAAAGTGGCACTTATCACAGGATCGCGGGAAGGTACAAAATGGAAAAACTGGAGAAACTTACAAAAAAATCTAATAATCTGCTCTTAAAACTGTCAAGGTATTGGATACCAAACTGCGCTTCAACTTGCTTCTAAAATGTGGACAATTCTAATCGCCGATAAGTATGAATTAGAAGATACCAAACATGAAATAATTACAAGAACAGCAAATTGTAAAATATTCACCTATTATCTAGATCTCGGCTGCTTTTCATCGGTCAGAACGTTTGCAAATTCCATCAAAAAAGAGCATAAAAAAATTGATGTGCTGATCAATAACGCTGGAATATTCAAAGCTCTAGAAGAGACAACCGTAGATAACTTGAATCCTATATGGCAAATCAACCATCTTGGACCATTTTTACTAACTGTTTTACTAGCAGGTAACTGCTGCCTAGTCTGAAAACCAACTTTTACATCATTTCACTATTTTATTGTAGATTTATTGAAAAGGGCAGCACCTAGCAGGGTTATATTTATGGCCTCATCAGGAGCGTTCTTTCACACTTTAGATCGGAATACAATTCCGGATTTAAGAAGTAGGGATGCTTCAAATATACTGGAACCAGCACGCACTTATTACAACTCGAAGCTTTACAACATGATAGTATGCAAAGAGTTGTCTCAGAAAATGGGCAAACACAACGTAACATCCAACTGTTTGCATCCTGGCATGACAAACAGTGGATTGTTGTTAAATGGATTCAATTTGCAGTGTTTTAGACCAATAGCTCATAAATTGGTTTCGTTGTTTACACAGGTAAAAATATAGCAAGTTTGAAACCGACAACGTCAATTCAAGGCACGTGCCGTGTTGAATTAATTTATTATTTATTTATTGCAACTTTAATTAATTTTCAGTCCAAAAACCAAATTTACTATGTTTAAGGATACTGAAAAGTCCGCCCAAATGGTATCATTTCTAGCTACGTCACAGGTAGTAGCCCAAATAACAGGGCAATATTTTGTCAACTACCAAGCAAGTCCGTATCCAAAAATTCTGGAGGATGAACAATTTTGCAAGCGTGTATGGAAGCAAGCAGAGGAGCTAGTAAATCTTACAACAGAGGAAAATTTGTGGGAGGATTGTTGAAAAATTCAAAGCCCATTTTATTGGAATATAATTATATTTTCGAACTAGCTAGAGCTTATCAATAGGCGTGATATTTCATTTACCAGCGAATCCCTATTTTCACGAGTTACCTGCAACAAAAATCTCCCTTAAACTGTAAAAATTTAGATTAAGTCGGAAATAATCGACCAATTTTAAAAAATCGCACCGTAAATAGCTGACATCCGTTGTCTCGTTTCAGAGCTGCTACAAATGGTGGTCCTCGAACAGGAACAGTGGCCAAAATTCTGATATTCTTCTTTTTAAATGCCGTTTCAACACATTGTTCAAACTTTTTACTAAATAGCTCCATTTTTCCGATTTCGTCAATTATTAAAATTCCATTTTCCTGTAATAGCGCAGCAATTATAGCGAAGAGCTTAATAATAATCGGTCCTTACAAAAAATGAAATTAACTGCAAAGTAAGTTGTTCAAAGTTTGCAACGTAAACAGTGTATGGTCCCAGCTGTTTTACACCCTGATCAGATGATTGCTTTCTATTTAAAAAAAAGTTTTAAAATAACCTTTTTGCCGTTTTCGCACTCTACAATGTCCATACTTATTATTGTCTGCCAGCACGGCTACATCATTTGATTTTAAAAGACGAACCTCAAATCCAGTCCTGTGGAAACTGTGGTTTCTCACTTCTTCCGTAATAAACCCATCAAATAGAATTGATGATTTTGATAGGTTTTCTATTATTTTTTTGACTAAGGTAGTTTTACCTACACCTGAAACATAATTCAACGGTCATTTTTTCCCGCACGCAATGGGCAGAAAAGTATTGCATAGACGTTGGAAATTTCTGAAACCTAAGAATATTAACAGCAAGCAATTACATTTTTTTTACCCCTCTTGAACTGTTTCTGTTCTGAAATGTTCTTTAAAGCATATATAGAAAGAACAATGGTGGAGTATGTTCTGTCCTACGGAAGTGAATGGTGAACAAAAAATAAATACTGTAGAAATGAAGCAGTGAAGTGACGCAGCGCAGTGAAGGAATATCTAAATTGCGAAGATTCAGAAATGAGGACATAAGACAAACAGTAGATGCACAAGAACCAGTTCTGGAAAGGAGAGGATGGTTTGGACCGATGATGAGGATGAATGAACAAAGATTATTCCTAAAAATGTTTAAATGCAAACCACGAGGCGGCAGAAAAAGAGGAAGACCCAGAAGATGAGAGAGAGTCTCCTGGAGAGAGCCCCTGGTCATCCATCTAATCAGAATTCACAATTAAGCATTTACTGGCATTTGGTGCCTAAAATATAAGATTCAGACATATCTTTCAAAAAACGGATATAGTGGAATGATAAATCTCGTTCTGTGTTTTTTACTTATTGTTTCTTTGTCTTTTTGTGATTGATGGTTTTTTTCTTTAGATTTATCATTTCAATATATTTAATACATTTTTTCAAAATCAACTTTTTTTAGTACATTTCACGTTTGAACTGGAAAAGCTGAAGCACAGCTTGAACATTAAATAGTAAATTCTTTATACATGTATCTAATGAAAAAAAACGTTGAAGGATTCAAAGCTTGCTTTCCATATGTTTATTTCGTACTGCTTAAAGATATTCACTCGGTTTGCCTTTTTATATTAAAATTTTGCGCCTTTAAATTTTATGTCTTTTCTATCTGTAAATCAATTAAGTTATGATAAAACTACATTTATATTCACCGGTTGTGCTCTTTGTAATTTTCATATTCGTATGCCCGATAATTAAAAACTATATTCTAATACTTGATCAAAAAATCAAATGTTTAATGTTTTTATTTAATTTGCGACAAGTTCGCGCCAGCCCTAAAACCCGAGCAGATTAACAATTTTTTAATTATCAGTTCTAAATGTCGCTTACGAATAATATAAAATAGAATTGATATTTAAGATAAATTTCGTGATATTAAATTACATTCTACACCCGTGTGGGTAGTGAAAAGCATTTTCATCCGAATTTATTGGAATATCTTCTGTACCGGCGCTATTAAATGTTTATAAGAGCAAAAAAAAGTATTTTATAAAAATTGCAGGTACAGCAAACGGATCTAAAAATATATATTTGATAAATTTCTTAAAACTTATTCATCTCCATATACAACTTGCATAAACTTGAGCTAGTTCAAATTGTTTCCGTATTCTTATAAACCTGTTTGCTTAAAATTAGATTAAATTATACAAAAGTATGTTATTTGACAGTTTTTTATCGCACTTTTTGACTCATGTTACTGGGCGCGGTCTTCGTATAATAAAAATATAATTGAGATGTTATGCAAACATTCCATATGTTTGAACAAGGGCTTCAAAAAATATAATATAGAAAGGCGTTAGAAGCAAAAGGGTAAAAGTGATAAGATTTAAACATTGAAAAAAACCGTGTAGACATTATAAACCTTCAATGTGCTATAACAAATTATTAAGAAATATTAAATTACACCCGTCTTTAGCACGTCGACCTGAAATAACTTTATTATCTCGGTTTTTAACTTTTTCATTTTCGTATTTTTTCTTTTCAATAATTTCTATAATAGAAAAATTCAGTCAATTAATAAAGAAATTGAATCATTTTTACAATACAGTCCACGTGACCTGTCATCTATCAAAAAGGTCATAAATGATTAGGTATTTCTAATTGTTTCTGAAATATAAGGTACTTTAAACCTTCAAGACCCTTTAAATTGTACTTTTTTACTTCTATCTTTTTAGAGGATATAAATTTCTTGAGAGGCAGTTTCTTGCTATAGAAGGATATCAAAAAGATTTGGGAGAAATATCACTTTTTCAGAACTGAATACACCTGAAAGAAGACAAAGTCGTATTTCGAGCCTTAATTTCTCTGCATTAAAATATAGTAGAGGATTTTTAAGATTATTTTTCCTTATTTGTCGAAATCGTTCTATAGATAGAAGCGATACTGCTAAACGTTTTCGATCCCAATTGAATCACCAAATTTTGTAAAATTGTCCATCTCCCGTTATTAATATCGTAGAGCACCTACAGGCTTCCAGCCAGTTTTTACTCAACTCGAATTACGTACAAAACTGTATCTGCTTACGCAGGCTTGTCTCGGTCACATTGCAAAAACTCCACAAAACTGAAGAAACCCCACCGTATCGAAAACGTTCACAAGATGGCTACAGTCAGCTGCTTCCTAATTCATTCGATTTGCTTTTGTGAAAATCAGCTTTGAATATAAAACTTAGTTTTATATTCAAAGAAAATCAGTGATAAAAAAATTGAGCGTCGATATTATGAGCAACTATTTTTCTTACTATTATGTGTAATTTTTGACCACCGATCTCTCTCAAATTAAAGACATACATACATAACAAAAACAGCAGCAAAAAGTTCAGGTAATGGAAATTTTTAAGTACTTGGATCCTTCCCCCAAAGTAAAACCCCAAAATAATCAATTAACCTTATCACGATTTTCTATTGTTGTCTTATAACATTTGAATCAACAGACAACTGAGATAAGTACTTAAGAGTGTGTTGCACTCACTACTAAATGTATCTACTAAATATCGTAAGAATAGTGACATTTAAATTAGAATTTAGATAATTCATATAGCATACAAATTGTAACCCACATACCTGGGTCTCCTGTAATTAAAAGGTGCTTCATTATTTGTTCAATTTTAATAAATATTGTGACTTTAGTATTTAAGTATTAGAGACAAACTCTTTAATACTTAAATCCAATGTTGACTGTCACTACTCACCAATCCTTCACATGGCATATCCTGTCATGGTTACCAACTTTTGAGATTTAAAATTTAAGGATAGGGAAAAATAAATTATCGACAAGGTTTCTCTATTAGTGGAAACCAAGTGTTTGATCAATTTATTTTGAAAATGCCATATGTAATGTAAAATTATAGTACGAAGTGTCAATAAATCGTATACGGAAAATAGCAAGACTTTTATTTATTACAAATTGTGTATAAACTAATATAAATTGATTCACTTTGTCTAAAAATACTTATATTCACTGAAAATAATTAATACATATTACAAAAATATGCACTAGTTATCCATTTTATTAAAAAAGCAAAATGTAAAAATGGTAAATTTTCAGTTAAGGGCATTTCCTATCGATTTGAGACTTTCCAGATTCTTGGTACTCTTGCATAGACATCCACATCTGCTGGAATGTTCCAATGGATGCTAAAATCGATCCGCCGACCCAAGCACCGAATCGTCTTTCCACTGTTCCATTAGCCGCTATCATTTTCAGCTTCATAGAACCGGGAGTTCTAGATTGAAGATCTCGACTAAGCCGATCGCTAAATCCCTATGTTGCAAAATGTTTATAAGGATTAACGGAATATGTGAAATAAACCACAGGAATGTAAAAGTTGCATCCGCAAAATACAAAACGCACATTTTTTTGTGCAATTTACAATACATTTTTTTCTTCTCGACAAAATAGCGAGACTACTGAAAATGTACAATTTTTAGTTGATTTATTAGAATATTGTAATTTAAAAATTAATATTAAATAAAAAAACAGTACAAGGAAGTATTATTTCCAAAAATAAGCAATCGACATGCTTATCTGCTTAAAATGCTATTGATCCAGCAGATGTATGATAATTGTTTTACTAAATGGCAACCATTTAATTCAAATCGCCTGAAGCGTCTTTAAGCATTTTGTAAAGAATTCAAGCAACAAGGAAATTAAATTTTTGAGAATCAGAAGCTCTTGAAAACGCATCTTCAGGAAACATCTACAATTTTTGTTGCTAAAAAAACTTCCTACTGTTTTACCATTTTTGACTTTGAATCAATATGAATGCAGAATATTTTACTGAATTTGATCGTCCCTTTAACTTTCCTATACTTGTCCAAATTTCCTGCATATTTATTTGGGTGACCCTCAAATAGCTTAATTTAATGCCGAAACCTGGGCAATGTTTTTGGAAACACATTTTTTTTGAGTTGTGTATTTTATGAAGGTAACTTAGCAAGTTTCGAGGAAATTTTTAAATTTTCAAAATACACCGTTCTTCAGTACTTCAAGTAGTAGTAAGTTCAAGTATATTTTGTTCTAAAAACGTTCTTCAAAATAGGAAAACGACTGGAATTTGCGATATGAAGCAAAAAGTCGACACTTCCACAAAAATATAAGTAAGTAATAAATAGTACCAAATATTGATAAATAAACTAATCCGGTTGACTCAGTAAACATAGTTTCGGATATATTTTAAGTTTTAAGTTAAACAGTTTAGTTTTAAAAAATGGGACTAGGCTTACCTGAACTAAGGAGTTGCCTCCAGTCAACACTACAGAACTATACAGAGCAGGGCGAATATCAACATCACACATACCGGCGCTTGTTGCCGCTGAAATCAATCAATCCACGTTAGAACTTACGAACTTACTTCAAAATATGGGCCTTCCATACCTATATGTCCAGCGCCCAGCATTGCATGATCAAATAAACCTTCAGCAAGCTTAAACCTCTCATTGCCGAAATCTTGATGATATCCACTAGGAAATTCATAATGAACCGATGGAATATTTGATACGAATCTCTCGTCATAAGGGCTCTCAGCCACCTTCGAAACAAAACGTTTATAATACTACTTGTTAGACCAGATAAGTTACATAGAGAAGTATTAATAGCAACTGTAGGAATTACAAAAAAAAACAATTAATAAATAACAAGAGCGACAACGAAGTTAAAATGAGAACAAATGTTACATCAGGAAAATTCTAATCAAAAATAAAAATTGACTGCTGGGACATTTTTCCAAACACTCCTGAATTTTATATGAAATTGCTCAAACAGGCGCGTTTTCACTGTACATTTTATGCCATTATTCTAACCAAAATGTAAAATGTACATATATTCAAACCATGTTTATCAGTCCAGAAATGTGATTTAAAAAAACTTACTTGCAATACAGTCTGCTGAAAGTCCTGTACAGTTCTTTTCATCATATAAGTCATCCAAGAGTTCGAAGGCTGAAAGTTTAATTTCTTTCTGGTGCATCTAGGGATATCTTTTTCTCTAACGACATCCTTTGCAGATATTAGAGCAGCTGGTGTCAAGTCAATTTTTAATGAATCCAACATTTCTCTTGCCCTAAAGTATGACTGATATAATCGCACTGTACATTATGGGTAGATTGACTTAATAATTTACCTCAAAATTAAGTAATCGCCACCCAAAGGTGACTTAACTACAGCATTTGAAATTACGTATCCATCTAATACAGGTACAGCTGAGGTATGAGTAGCTCCACTATCTATCACCAAGGCAGTAGCTCTTCCATTTGCAAAAGCTGCCAATGCGGCATTTTTTACAAGGAAAAACGCAGGTACTTTATACTTTTCAAACATAATTTCGGTGAGCTTTTCACGTTTCTGTCTCTGATTCCATGGAGATTCAGAAAAGAGGACCGGATGATACTGGGACTCTGATTGAATAATCTAAAACATCCATGTATGCGTATTAGGCTAATCCAACTTGCAAATAGCAATCCCGGTAACAAACCTTTTCATAAGAATAATCTAGGATCTTTTCAAACATATCCCAATTTTCAATCATTCCGTCTTTCATGTAACTGTGCAATTCCATATTAGCTCTAGGCACATGCAAGAATGTTGTATCAATATAGTACTTGTTCTCTGTAAACAATTGCCCATATACTTATTTATTTTATTCAAACCAATACAACTATGTTATAACGTTTATCATTATCACATGTTCATTTATACACAGGAATACATAGTTTCAATAGATGAAGGAATTTAATCGTGGTGTGTAAAACTTTGTTCAGCAATTGAAGTTGAACCAATTCAAAAGTAGGAAAATGTCTTACTAAAATATATGGACGATTTACGTATAGCCATTAAGCGAATCCAATTTGTGGAAATTAGAGGTAACAGAATCAGAACTAACAGAGGATGAACAACTACGAACTGCGGCATACCTTGTATTCAAATCTCGCAAGAATAGAGAAAGTACTGGGAGGAGATATTGCGACTGTTTATCGAAAAGTAGTGTCTAGATCCTCCAAAATCATTACGCGAGAAAGAACCGCTAAGTCGCTTTAATTTAGAATTTTTGCATTTTGCCCGAGAACTGGACACATTGCAGAAATACTGTCTGGTATAAAAAATTATGCCCATTTTAATTTTTGCAATTCGCGAGAAAACTGGAAATGATTTTAAAACAATGTTTGGCTTAACGGCTTAACACTTAAAGGCTCCGTCACGCAATAACAACTAAAGCTTTACAGCTTAACGGGTTCTTCAACTATGAACCAAAGACTAGGAGCGATTTGAAACACTCGCTTTACTATTGAACTTCTGCATTCTTCGAGAAAACTGTAAATTTGGCAAGACGATGTTTACTTTCAAAAAATGCTCCTTTCAATGCTCGCAATAAAACTTTACAGCCCAGGCGACTGTCCAAATATGAACCAGACTAGGAAGAGGCGTTTTAGGCACTCGCTTGCATAACAGACAACAAATAAGCACGATTGGCAGCCCTTCCGCTGTGAGTACGATACATCCGTTGTGTGTTCGGTGTAACGCGTACTGTGAAGGTTAATTTTACCGCATTCAAAGACCATTGAGGTTCAACTGAAATTTGTAATTTGAGCCTTACGTGATGGTTTTGAAGACACATTACCATCCTCCGTCTTTACTTCTGGCTCCACTTTAAAAGACTCGTCTGGAGCTACGCCAACTACGGCTGGAATTTCTGCTTTTGGTGTATCTTCTTGAGCGTAACCCACCCGAAGCGAATGATGACCGGGATCAAAAACCAACGCTCCAATTTCATCACCCCCGTATAACATACCGGTCGACATTTTATTTAGTGGCTATTAAAAATAATTAATTGGAAATAAACGAAGCAACACAAGCACTTTTCGCAAAAGGTTAAGTTTGTTTACACATAACCTTTAATAAAAATTGTTGACAGTCGGCATAAAATGGCTTTGTTGTCATCTTTCTTTAATTTAATCGATAACTATCTTCGGAATGATGCTGCATTCTTCAGACAAATTTAAATAGAATTATTTCATAATTTTTTAAAAAATGTAGTAAATTTTCATCAACTGTGTGTACGATGAATTAAATAAATCCAGGGTCCATAGAAGTAACACATCCTGTTTTAAACCTTTTTAAAAAATAGTAGTTTCGGAGAGAGTTTTAACTTTGCTTTCCAGTGGAAATAAGAAACAATAGAAAATCGAAGCAATAAATGTCTATCTAACTATTTTGTGCAAATCGATAACTATCTCAAAATGTTTGACTTTAATATTCGGCATATACGTGAGGAACGACACACGCATGCAGTGAGCAGCTACACACTGCTGCAGCACATACAGCAAAAAATATTAAATATTACATAAATTCGTATGCGCTCCGACTTATTTTGACGATTATTGTTTTGTGATATAAATTAGATTTTTTCTGGTATGCCTCAGAAATTACTCCATGTCTAATTTTCACATTTGTAAAATCGCGCTTCAAATATAAAGGATATAAGGAAGGAAGGGTTTTGCATCATTCAATATGTATTTATTGTATTTAAATTTAATTGTACGTACTTTCCTGACTGTGTTTCAATTCCAAAATTAAAATCAAATCCTGGGTTCTTCAGTCATTTATTGTTCATTTATCAATTTAAAAAAACGTTTCGGTGTTTTCCACCATCATCAGTTTTAATGTGTAGCGTTGTTGCTACTTTACGCCTTGGCATGTATTTGGAGTATTAATTTTGTCCATTTTGCAACATAAAGCGAAATACTGAAGAGTAAGAGTACTTCGCTTTATGTTGCAAAATGGACAAAATTAATACTCCAAATACATGCCAAGGCGTAAAGTAGCAACAACGCTACACATTAAAACTGATGATGGTGGAAAACACCGAAACGTTTTTTTTAAATTGATAAATGAACAATAAATGACTGAAGAACCCAGGATTTGATTTTAATTTTGGAATTTAAATTTAAATATACACATATGTCTCAAAATCTTATTTGAATATTTTCTAAATGACGCCGATAGGATTGTCTTAATACTCGATTTTGTTTTAAACTTAGACCGTTAATTTTCTTTTTATAACTATAAATGTAAGTGCTCTGAAACATCCCACATGTCTAAGTCGCTCACTGCAGGTATTCGCTTTGTGATTTCCACTTGAGCACCTAAATCGTAGTACTCTTTCCAACACTGTCTCTGATCTTTGCAAACACAATTTCCTTTCTTAGAACTATAATTTAGCTTCTGGCCATTTTGTTTCCTTCTTTTTCCTATCTCGTCCGTAATTGTTCGCATATCATTCATATCCGGAGTCATCAACAGCCCTAAACTGGGGTAAATTAGGAAGGCGAATACGGTGAGAACTGAAATAATATTTCAATTAGCAATTCAAGTGAATGAAATTAAATGGAATTGACCTACCAGTTAAGATATATATTGGAACAGAAACAGCCCAATATCTTTGAGGTAAAAAGTCAATACCAATATGTTCGAAGTAAGCTTCCGGCACTAGAGCCCATATAAGGTACAATATGAAGAAAATATTGAAACTTAGGAACATAACAAAACCATACACAGCCCTGCTGGCTGTAGGGGCAGGCGTATGTTCGGGCATTTTAGGTTTTAAAGGCTAAATAAAATCCAGAACTAATAATAACCATACGCCGCACTCACAGGTGGGCCTGTGGCTTGAATGGTCTCAATGATCAGATCAACTTTTTCAAATAAATTATTTACTGCCACCCTTAATTGCCTTGCTAAGCAAGCGGCAAAGGAACTAAAAACAGTGCGAATAATTCATCAATGTACTATTAATTATAAGAATGCTTACACTTTAACAACAGTATTCTCTAATGAAAGAGCTTTGCTCACACCACTTCTTTTAGGTTCTGCATCCACCCTCAGAACATCATACACTATTTCAGCTACACGTACACTATCAAAAGGCAATTGCAGATCTCTAAAGTTTATCTAAGGAAATAACGTGTACTCTAACCGAAATGTCAGCAGTTTGCAAAAGGATACATTTTCAGACGGTTATCTAGAGCCATTGGAGTGAACAACTGATTTAAACTATTTATGTATAATAATGATGATAAATACCTAAAAAGTACAAATAAATATTCTACACGTTGAGGTTATGAAGAAAACTGCTGTCAACGTTTCCTAGCATAGATGGAAACAGAATTAGCTTTCATTAGCGCTTCTATCATTAGATATTCTGTCGCGACGAAAGCGGCTTGAAGTTTGAAGTTATAGAACAGGATTCCGATTGGCGCATGTGCATTCAAAAGTTAGGCGCCAGAAAGAAGAAATGTCAAAACGTCTTAAATAAGTTGCTTTTAAAAAAATATATCTTTTTATATAAAATGAGTGGCCAATATTGTGAATATTATTGTTTATACCTTTACACTTATTCTATCTAATATAGGCATTCAGTTATCATCATTTACATGTGTACAATGCTTAGAAATAAGATATAATTGCCTATAAAGTTTCAGTTATCAGGTGATTTAAAGTTAAATAAACTGTGGAGTTTGTTTGTTTGCGGGAATACGACCCACGAACAGTTTCCCTACAGCACAATGACGTCGTGTTTGTATGATTTAGACACAACTGGAGGGCTAATGAATGTAAGTGAAACTTGCTTTATTTATAGTAAGAAAGTAACATGCAGGTACAAGCTGTATAAGATGGCGGAAAATGGGAATGGGGTCCACAAGGCGCTTTGCTTGTAGCCCTTAACCAGCATTCAAAGGAAAGCTTTTGAAAGCCAACTTCGTCTAGTAATAATACAAGTAACCTGAGCCTTCTGGGAGAGCTGTGTACCGACACCCGTGGATGTCTATAAACATAATTTGGGCCGTCATCATGTTCAGTATTTCTCATCCACATCCAGATCTTATGTAAAGTCTACTATGTATGACACCCTAGATGGGCACATGTAGATGCGCCGAAATAGATCATGACATTAAGAACAGAACTATCGTCTAATCAGTCCCACTTAAATTGGAAAAAAACTGTTAAAATATCAGGAAAGAGAAACTGATTGCGTTTTTACTGTTGATAGGATCTTATTTTGAAGCCAAATTGTCTTTGTAAAAGAAAATAATCAGGAAACACAAAATTCTTGATACTTTTGTAAGAAACGATACCAGCCAAAAACTGTGCTAACACAGTCAGATCCACAAATTTAAAGAACCGATAGATCCCAAGGAACTACGAATGTTTATTCTTTCCGAAACTATCTTTTGAGTTTTCATATTTGAGTCCAAGTTTTATTTATATGGCTATAATATTATACAGCCAATAGATACACAGAAAGGAATGAAACAAACAACCAGGAACATTTTGTATATATCGGTTAAAACGTTTTAAGCTGTAATTAAATCTTCATTAAAAGTCGATTACTTAGTGTTAGTCGATGCATGTAAAAAATCAACTATTTGGTCCTGATAACTGCTTTATATACCTATCTGCTCTTTGTTGGCATAATTTACGCTAACTGTGAACCTGCATCACACTCAGTATGTTTTCCACCGTATTGTTTTATTTGGTCACTTATAACATTTTCATCCACCTTAGATTACTAAATTTTCCTGTTTTTTCTCAAATAATTAAATATATTGTATCCTCATTTTGGGAGTGTCTATAAAATGTCTCTTTAGATTGAGTTTTGAAAACGTTTTCAATTGATTTGTTATTCGTTTGTTATATAATCTTTCTAGATTTCCGGTTAGGTTATTATTTTATGGATTATTTTCCGTCTCGATATCATGATTATGTGTGACATACACATGTTTATCTTGTCCGAAGAATATTTCTTTGGTATGGCTGGTAAGAATATAGTATTTTTGGTTTTTTTTTTTCAGTTTACGACCGTTCGATATAAAAAAATTGTCTTCCTCTGATTTGACAGTGTTTTTTTTTCATTTGAATCAGAAAAACTTTATTGCTCCTTTTGCACCTTTTAGATATCTACATTTACAGATTCGATGGAATTTCAAATTGCATGATTTATATGGCCTTTGAGTTTTACTTTACTTTTTATTACTTTTGAAATTAATCATTATTTTGTCTGTGCGACAATTTCCATAAATTAAAATTGACCAAGGCAGGTCCTCCTTAGTTTAGTAAATTCATTGTTGTTATAAATATCACAAGTGTTTTTGTTGTTATAAATATCACAAATGTATATAATAAAAGATGTTCATTATTAATAATTAAATTGTAAATTAATTACTTTAGAACAGCAGTAAAAAACGGAGTACCTAATTGTAGATGATTAGAAAATCAAAATGGAATGTTGATTCACATTATCTTATAGGAGATCCAGGCCCTCATTGCACCTCCAGGAAGCGAAAAGAAAGATAAAGGAAAGAAACCCGAGCACCCCTACTTCAAAAGGCCGGGAAAAGGACACAATCATGACTTTTGCGATGCTTGCACTGAAGGTGGAGACTTAATTTGCTGCGACAAATGTCCCAGCAGCTTCCACTTGGGTTGCCAGTCAGTAATTTCAAAATTTAAGCCAACGTAATTCCTAGACCTTGCAATTCATTTTAGCGATCCTCCTTTAAACTTCGAGGAGATTCCTCAAGGCGAATGGTTATGCCATAGTTGCAAGTGTCAAAAGAAGCAAACCCAGCCGACCAGCATAAGGAAAAGATCTGATAGTACGTCTTCAAATGGCTCCAGTGGTAAGGAAAACATTTGCGTATCATTTTCGTTTGAACGTACATTTTTTGTTGAATTAAAGGGTCAAAAACGGGGAAAAAGTTCAAATCCAGCCCAATGGATTATCTAATTGAAGCTGCTAGTGCAATGAATCCTAAGCAGTTTGAACTGCCAAGAGAAATGAGTTTGCCAAACTCATTTTTTCCAGGAGCTGATAAAAGTAAGGCAGAATATTAATAGCAAATTATTATGATATTAAAAAATTATATTTGTCTAATACATATATTTTTTCTAATTTGCCATTTCTTATTATTCTTAGAGGAATTTATTTTATTAATATGAACGCCTCCATTTCCAGTTTGAAAAATAATTTGTAATTTCAGTTGAAAACAGTAAATTACCGAGAAAACCGAAACATCGCGATTATCAAAAATTGCCCAACGGATTGGTTCCTTTGCCAGCTAGAAAGTGTTCAGAATGTCACAAGTCGTGCAGAATAGCCCCTTTATTGGAGTGCGATTTTTGTCCATCCTATTATCACTTGGACTGCTTAGACCCTCCTCTTACTGCACCACCTAATGGAATTTGGATGTGTCCACAACACGTCGAACACACATTGGTAGGGCTCAAGCTATTTTCATTTTTGTCTAAAAATTTAAGCTAATTTTGACCAATAAAATTCCTAGGATTCAAATATATTGACTTCAGTATCACTGTGTGAGCGTGTTCAACTTTGGGACAAATATGCTGCTCCTGTAGATCAGAACACGATAAAGCTAGAGTTTTTCAGAAAAATACAGAGAAAAAACCCACCGTTTAGAGTTAAAAGAAAAATACCTGAAATTCCAAAGGTAGCAGAAAATTAGTTAAAAATGCAACGTGTTTCTAATTTATTTTCCGATGTTTAGATTCAGGTGCCAGATATGGTAAAATATCACTATAAGAAACCAGTACAATTACTTCCTAGTTTAAAAGACGTTTTAAGGATAGAGACCGCTTACCGAAAAAGGAGGTTAAAAGAGGTAAGTTAAAGAGAACTTCTCGAATTAGAAATTAAAATTGTTTTTTAGTCTGTAGCCGCAAATGACATTCAAAGTGAAGAGATTTTGGACGCGCCAATGGAAAATAAGCAGGAAGCTGAGGAATCGGAAGGGCAACTGGAAAGTCAAGCTAAAACAGAAGACGTTAAACCTTGTGATATTAGTGATTTAAAGTTGGTATTTTCATTCACATCTCTTTTAAAAAGTATTAACTTCTTTCAGTAGTTTCAAGTTTATTTTTGTTTTCCAGTTGTGGTGAAGTGCTTTCGTCCTCACCAACGGATTTAGTTTCGACTCCAAATAACAGTGCACCTTCGTCAGTGAAAGTAGAGAACCCAGCTTCTTCAGTAGGAGACAGTAATGTTCATATCACAAATAATACTTATTACATGAACAATGTGCTGAACCTGCATTTAAACTGTGGCATGTATGGAGCAAATAACACGAATAGTAATGGCGCTTTGAAGGAAAACGGCCAAGTGGAATTGACTAACGGCTATTACGAAAAGGAACTACTAAAAAAAGAAGAAAATATTATCAAAGATATTATGGATGGATGCTTTACTCATGGAGGTCAGTAGTTAGCAATTATATTTTTTTGAAGTAATAAAAAAAAGTTTTTTTGAAAAGATGGATATAATTTCTATCGTATGCAGGGTGGTCCATGTTCCAGTGCGGAAACTTTAGGGACGATAGAGAATCGAAAAACAATATTAGTTTCAATTGTAAACTATATTGGATAAACCGGATTTGGATTCTTAATATTGGATATATTAAGGATATACCGGATGTGTAAGTTTGTCTTAAAGAAATATAATTTCTTTACTGTTGCCAAACGGCCTATTTAATCGAAATTGTGCCGGTGATAACTGCTAATGAAGGAGTACATTTTGCAATAAAAACGGTTTTTTTGTTTCGTCAGTGGCATCCGTACTAACACGCTAATGGATGTTTTTGAAGAAAAAAATATTTTGCCCTTCGTTTCCTCAAAAATAAAATCACTTCTGGATTCTTCATTCAGTTTCAGTTTTCAATTTATCTGTACAAGTGAGCATTTTCAAGTCAAAAAATAATTGATAATCATTTATTACAATATAAGTTCCTCATCAACGGAACTTATAGAAATTGCTCGAAAAACATGTTTTTAAACTGAATAAAGAATCCAAATGTGATTTTTATTTTATGAAAAACAATAGATTTTTTTTATATCTTAAAAAACTTCTTTGAAAACAACGTGTTACTACGGATGCCACTGACAAAACAAAAAAAATTAGCTTTTATTGAAAAATGTGCTCCCTCGTTAGCAGTTCTTGCCTGCATAATTTCACGTAAATATCCACAGCCGTTTGGCAACGATTTATAAATTTAATTTTTTTAGTCAAACTTAAGCTTCCTGTATTTCCACAACAAAGTATTTTTCGAATATGCCTCATAAAATAAAATCGTATTGTTTTTCAGTACTCTACAGTTTACTGAACATGCTACAATTTCTTAAAAAATCCATGATTATAGGAATTTACAAAGATTTGTAAAATTTTCTACCCAGTAAAGTTTTTCAGGGTCAAATCAAGAAAATATAGAATTTAAGAATTTTCTCCAAAGGATAATACAAGTCAAGAAGAACACAATACCAAATCCTACCGCATGATCTAAATTACAATAAAACCTTATTTAAACCCTGAATTATTTACAACCATTAACGACACATTAGAAACATTAATCAGTATTTCTTTGTCTAATCTTAGATGCAAGGCTTTTTTCAAATTTTTATCAACTTTTAGATATTTTTGCTAACATATAGGGTTACGATTTGGATACGCTTGGCGTTTGTAGGAAATAAGCAACAATCTATCTAATTACAAAACCTTGTTTCATGAATTATTATATTTTTTCTTTCCTGGGTTTTAGCCAAAATGTGAAATAAAAATGTTCATATCGATTATTTCATATTTTTACGTTTCGGCGAGACAACAGTGACAAACCGACAAATTCAAAACAAACCCATAATTAGGAAACATAAGATTTAGAAAATGTAACATTTTCTAAATGTAGACAAGAATTCAAACAAATGTGAGGTTTTGAAGACAGCCAAGCCTAAAAAGAATCTAATGTTTCCCAACTATGGGTTTGTTTTGAATTTTAAATCTGATGATGGCGCTGTTGTGTCGCCGAAGCGTAAATATGAAATAAACGATATGAACATTTTTATTTCACATTTTGACTGAAACCGAAGAAAGAAAAAATACAATAACAAGGAAAATAAAACAAATTGATTCATTTAGTATGAAGAATAAGACGATAAATTGGTAAATGCGAGAATAACTTTGGAAATAACGTATTTGTTTCTTATTGTAATAGGAATCACCAAGTGATTTACGCCGACATAAGTCTCCTCGAAACTGTTTAAATAGCATCCAGAATGAGACAGTGGTTAGAAGCAGTAGAATACAATGAAATTGCAAGTGATATCCGCTCTACATCTGCAAATTTAATTATTGTTTCATGCGGTTATTTGAAATAGTATTATTTTATAAACGAAAAAATGTAAAAGTAAATTTGAGCTTTGTGCTTTGAAAACATAAATTTTTGCCTGAAATATATTTTATGGGAGACATTTCATTATATTGCACTTTGCGGAAAGAATCCTGGTAGCTTGTGTTATTTAGAAAGTTGATAACTCAACGGATGGGGCGGGCTAACTGTTCGCATTCGGTCCTGATATTGTCTCTGGCTCATGCTGATTTGTTGCCATTAATCCGCTTTAATGTACGAATTTTTTAAAAGGTAAACGTTCTATCTAGTTTGACATCCTTTATAGCAATAGAACTTGAACTTTCAAAATAAATACTATTAAAAATACTCGGCTAGTAAAAATTAATACAGCGCGTAAAGAAACTCAATTTAAACATGAAATTGGGAAGACGACCAATATATTTTTGCAGATATCACATGGCAAACCTTTTACATATTCTTGAGATTTTTTGAGGCAAAAAAATTGGATAAGATAGTACTAAGGTTTCCAGTTGAAAAAAATTACTACTGTTTTCAAAAAGAAAAGAAGCTGGGACAATCTGAAACGAAAATTAGTAGGCCCGCAAAACTTGCATCCGCATCCTCTTAAGGCGCTATCCAGCAGACACACATCACATGCCCTTAGGCACTTTAGTCTGAATTTTAGTGTATTATTAACTTTCAAAGCAGCAAAAATTGACTTTTAGAGCAAAAAACACAAACAGTAATAATTAAGATATTTTAAGGTGTGTTTGCAACAAAACACGCCTATTTTACAAGAATACAAGAACCGTTTAGTTTAGAGTGTAATTGATATACAATATTACATTCACAATCAAATTTATTTTACATTTAGATTGTGAAATATCATAGAAAAATAGTCCACCATGGAAAACTTCCAATTAATGTATAAAATCTGCTTTTAAATTAGTTTTAATAAAATAAAAAAATAATTTGTAAAACCCAATAGAGAATCCGAAAACTCCGTTGTCGTTTTTCGTCGAATAAATATGATATGCAACAATTTCATAAAAGGCAAGTCAATAATATGGGACTAAAAGCTTTACATCTACGTGGTAACCGGGGGCAAAGTAATGCCAAACTTACCTACAGCTGCATAGTGCCTCCTGGAAAGAAAGAAGAAATTGTGTTTAGTACAGGAGGAAATATGTCTAAAGCCATGTTATTGAAAAACAGACAGCACAGAAATGTATAGAACTTCAGTTGCTTTTCGAAAAACTGAAATCTGTTCAAACCAAGAGTTGTATAGATTAGAAATCATTCTTACCAGCTTTCTGCATTTTATATCCATTAATCGTCAAAAAGTTCACACACTATACTTGGTCACGCACTGAAAATGGATTCTGAATTGAAGCCTCTAATCCTGCTGTTTTTAAGTTTGAAGAATAAACTACCGCAGTAGGGGGTCAATATGATTCCATGTTTTCCATCTAAGAACGCGATACGCACGACACAAAGGACTTGCGAACTATACCGTCCACTGTCGGTGAGAAACTAACTATTCGGACAGCTTTTCAAAAAAAAAACCATGCGATATCGACATTTTTGGCGAATACCGAAGGCACCGAACTACAGATGCTTATATAATCATTTGCTTGGTCGCCCTTTGGATGAGAATTACTTGACTTTTACAGTTGATACGGCCATATGAAAACGAGATTCACGTTCCGACTCGTTTGGTTGCTCGCCGTAAACAAATCCCATGCGGGGGCGCATTAGAATTTTTTATATTAAATTAAATGCTAGCGATCGAATCAGTTGTTTTATTTGATTTTTGTAAAATTTTAAGGCATTTGGGCTTGATATTTTTTAACAAAGCTTCTTTGGTCGCATCAAGAACGATAGAATGCGCGACTTGATTTTGACCTGATTTTATTTAATAGTCGTTCGCTCAATTTTCATGAACATTTTCGGGATTTGTTCGGTAAAATTCGCTTAATCCAGATCCAAGCCGTGTCAAGAATTGTGACCGCAGCATTAAAGCGAGGAAATACTCAACGTGATTTTGACACGTGCTCACCTAACTCTTTTGCTACATTTTTAGACAACATAGGACTTTTATAGCTTTATATGCAGTTAAAATAATGCCTCAATTGCAGATCAATCTTCCGTCCAGGTCGTCATTTATCAATGTATCTCATTGTTCGCACCAATAGCAATGCCGGAATATTTAACTTGATCTTGACATGAGCTCACAAATCACTATTTTGCTGGATTTTTACAAAACTTTCATTCATTACAGCTGTATATTTTGTGTAAAGGCTGGATAAATTGGAGACCTATATTCAAGTCATGCTACTATTTATCGATGCTTCTTTGCTCGCATCATCAAGAGCGAAGGTACATATATTGATTTTGTCACACGCTCACCTCTGATTCTCTTGGTAGATTTGTATACAACGTTGGTATTTTATAGCTCCATATGTTAGTGAAAGACTGTCTAAAGCGCATTTAATCATGTTCATGATTTGTGAATGTTTCAGTTTGCTCGCACCATTAACCGATTATTAAACTTGATTATGATATGCGCTCTCGGAGGGACTTTTTTGAATTTTTATGAAACTCTGAGCCTTTTCGGCTCGATATTTTGTCAAAGATTTGGCTAAATGGTACTCATGTTCCCCGTGACGTGTCATTATTTGTCCATGCTTGAAACATTGATATCGCATCATGAAGAGCGATGGAATGCGGACTTGATTTTGGCAACAGTTGGTCGATTGGTTTTTCACTAGATTTCCATGAAAATTTTTACTTTTGATGCTGGATATGCAGAGTAAAATCCGCTCAACTAAAAAAAAACCATTACAACGCCGTGTCGTGCAATGTGATTGCTTTTTTGGCAGGCGCTCATCTATGAATATCTTTTTTTATACAATTTTGAACTCAAATGCTGCCTAAATTGCAGATTCACATTCAAGCAATGCAATGCTTCGTGAATTATTTCCTTTGCTTTGCACTGAAAATCCGCATCAAAATTGCCATACAGAAAAGTTTAATTGACAGACAATATCTCGCAGAATCAACGTTTTTGGTATAGGCAACTTTACATTTGGAGGTTTTTACTTAACTTAAATCCTAAACTTATTTTTAACACTCTGTATTAATAGAAATCAAACTGTTATAGACAGTATAATAAAGTAAGTAATTGTCAACAAGTACTCGGCCTCAAATAAATACTAACTGAAATGTTATTAATTATTTTAGTGCCTGCAAATTAAATTTTAAACTTAAAATATCTCAAAAACGGTTAGTCTTGGGTATAGGAAATAATACTTGAAATGTTTTCTAATACTATACAGGGTGTTCCACCTAAAATTCTCTACTTGCTTACTTTGCCTACTTCCGGTATTTATAGAGTGCGGTCTAATTGTTATAGATCGCTTGCCCACAATTATTTTGCTAAGCCGGCCAATTTTCAATGTTTTCGTAATTGTAGTTTGCCATTTATCGTTTGAAGCGGTTCCCGATGAGACACCCTGTATATCTGCTTTAATTTTCGAAACTTATTTGGTATGTTAGTTTGATACACTAGCTGGACCAATCAATCTGGTCCTTAGGCTAAAAAGTTTGGAGATCCCCTGGTTTAGATCGATGGTTAAAAGGTTAATTGATTTATTAGTTCTCAATAATTGTACTCTCTAATAGTACACGTCCGAAGACCACCTCATTTGGAGAGTTACAGAAATCTACATTGTCGTTATTTTTCAATCGCTGAAATCGTAAAGGGCCATGTAAGTTATTTAAAAAATCGAATAAACGATGTCACATTGTGACATTTTTGTCAAAGGTTCCTAACCTAATATTGATGTAGCAGTATTTGTCGCAGGTAAATATAAAAAAGAGTTAATAATAACTTGATTTAGCAGAATTTAATTATTTCGTGAATTATTAAGCGAGCTGTTGTATGTGGTAGTTTATCGCTTTTCCCTGTATAAACAGTCAAAATGACATGGGGCGGATTGTGCGCACAAAAATTGGGAAAAAGTGAGCAGTTACTCATTGAGGGAATTTAGAATGTTTTGAGTATTGCGTTATGGGCAATAAAACGACGGTTTAATTGGTGCTTTAAACAGTTAGTTCTTTGTATGTTTTAAATCCGGACACCAAAATTTATTAGGTTAAAGAGTTAAAAAAGTTTGAGCAGCGATTTAGAAATTGAAAGTCGATTCTAAGACACATTAATAAATCAAAAATGACTGATATGACATAAATCTCTGAATATACAAAACTATTTTCAAAAATGTCGAAATCTGCTTATTTGTGAAAAGAACACAAAACATTTGTTACGCGTATTTCATAAAGCTAAATGACTCAACTGTTATATCTAATTTATTTGTAATTCTAATTTAATGTAATTTTAAACTGTATTTAGAAGTAAAGCAATTGAATTGTAAGTAAATATATCTATCAAACGGGGTCTTTGAAAATATAAAAAACATCCAAATAATGAGCTCAAATATTCGTTTGGTACTAAAACGAAACTATACGTTTGGTTCTGCATAGTCTAAAACCTCAAATGTTCATCAGATATAAATATAAAGTTATTCCTGTTGTATACGAGGTTTCTCATAAAAATATATTTGACTCAAGTGTAAAATACTTTTTTACATTTATAAGTTTTACAGATACTTTAAAAAAATATATATTTTGTTACTTAAAATTATTTGGGCAGATTTAGTATAAATGTTCTATTGTTTTCGTTCTTTTAGGTCGCGGTTACATTTAAAAGAATACTAGATAATTCACATAAGTGAATTATATTACAAGTATCGTAAAAATTACATTAAATCGAAATAGGTATATAAAAATATTCTTATAAAATATGTTTTGAAATATACTCAACGTTTCACTGTATTAAACAGCAATGTTTTTAGATATAAAAAAACTGTAACACAAATATGGAACATACAGGCCCAATCTGGAGGTTTTATATTTATTTAAGTACATCTTTATGACAAATAAATAGCAAATAATCAAGAAAATATTTGTTTAATACATTGTCTTATTATTATAAAATAATTTGATCGTCTTAACTGTTAGATGTAAGCAATATGCAAAAACCATTGCATATTCAGTATAATAAACGCACTACCGTCACCAACTTGGGTTTTTTAATTAAATTTGCAATAATTTGATATTAAATAGTCGACCCTTTGCTCATATCGTTGATGTACAATTTAATATTTTTTTGCGAAAAACTATACCTTTATACGTACTAATATGTCTTATGCTAATAGGACACGCTATATATCCAAGGAAATTTGTGTTTTAGAAAATACATAAACTTGAAACACTGGAAATTATTTATTAATTATTTAAGTTTAATATATTTGAAGCAAAATAATACATAAAATAGTAAATCCATATACATACATTGAAAACCAAATGCCACTAGATCAAATAGAGTTTGAATATTCAGAATTACGACATTCAAAGTGCTAAAATCGCAAAAATAATGAATTATCAACTGCAGTAAAAATTACATAATTAATCATGATGTGTATATTATCCTTGAAAGGCAGTTTTGAAGAGAGTTGACGAGTTTGAAGAAGTTGAGTTGAGTTAAGAGAGAAAACCACTAATTGAAAAAATTGTTGTTTTTTACAAACATATTTTCCGTAAACGGTACGAAGTGTAGCATTTTTAACCAGCCACATTGTGAATGGAAATTGCGTATTTCTTTTATTAACTGGTTCTTTCCCAGCTGTCATTTTCCTTAGTTGTATTTGTGCATAATTTATTTAATGTAATATTGGTGGTTTTATGAGTTGTTACTCTAAAAAAGTTTGTTTTGCCACTACTAGTATTTAAAGTTTGTTAATTATTCAATGCTATTTTTAATATTCTTGCAACATTTATAATTTAAATTGCTCTTTTTGTTTGTTTTAAATCTCTACTTAGTTAATGATTTTTCGTCGTGATCTATTTAAATAGATACGCTCTCATCTACGGATTGATTCAAAAAATACGTATATACTATGCACCGTTTTTTTATTAGATGCTTAGTTTTTTTTTAACTTTTGCTTCGGCTATTATTAAAAAAGCTAATTTCTTTAAACTTTGTCGGTTTAGCTGTTGGAGGTTAAATAATTTTACTTTACAATCGTTTTTGCGGAACTACATTCTTTATTGTTGTGTTATAGTCGTATAATTATTTACGCGAATTATCTATAAAAAAATATTTGAAAACACTGCATTAAATAATATTATTTGCTGTTTTTTTAATTTTTTTCAACAAAATAGGGTCACAACTTAACAAAAGAAGTTAAGTAATACATATATTTGAAAACTACTATAAAATCGCATTTGTTGTGTTCTTGCTAAGTTCTATTATCTGGTGAGCAAAATGTGCCAATAACAATATGCGTGTTAGTTATGTGATTAAAGTTTAGACCGATAATTACTAATTGATGTAATTGAATTTTTTTGTAGCATTATTTTTTCTTCAATTAATAAGTTTGCTTTTGAATGTTTTGGATCATGCAGTAGCGGTTTTATACACTTTACTGTTTTTGTTTTCAGCTGAATTAGAACTGAAACAGCTTGATGAGCGTTTGATAAAGATCCTTGCATATCAACGGTTGCAGCAGCTTCTAGGGACTTTGAATAACTCGCATAGCAGCAGTACTAACGCCAAAATGCCATTACCTAGCGAATTACTGACTCCTGCTGATATCGATAGGATTTCAAGGTAAAGATACAAAAAACCTTATTGTGATAAAGCGATTTTTGTTTGAAAACAAACCTGCAGTAGAAATCCGTTTAGGGCAATTAGGAATTTAAGCAGCTGAATCCGTTTGATATACTTTATAGGGTATTTGCGAGTCCCAAGAAGAGACAGCGATCAAAGCCCATTTTAAGGGCCAGAGCTATGCTCTGTCCCATCGTATCCAAGCATTTTTATAATGTTAGAACCCGTGAAGTTGACCCTACAGACGTGCGACATGATGCAAGGTGGGTTTTGCTTTGAAAACGACTACAGGAAAAATATATTTGAAAAATGCTTTTCCAGTTTTTTGGGGTTTAGGCCCACGGTATCTACAAGGTTTCCAGAAGCCGTGGCAATGCGATATCGAGTATTAAACGTAGGAAAGGGATCATCTAATGATGTCGACTTGGACAAGTTCGGATATTGTAACTTCATCTCTTCTAAGCACGCCACTATATTTTTCGATGATGTAAGTTGCAATCCAACTGTTACTAGAGAAAAAAATGGCTTGATGTCTTACGATTGCAGTACACAAATAGCTACGAGCTGATCAATTATGCGTCTTGTGGAACTTATGTCAATAATGTGCTCTATTCGAACAACGTGTGCATCAAACGCAACGCGGAAATAGTATCTGCTGTTAATACCACTGAGGGCTCTGACCGTGGTCAGAATAATAATATGACTCCAGAAGAAAAGGTACGATATTTTTGCGATTCATAACATTTGAGAAGTTTACATTTTTTGGAAAGGCTGCCAGCGTAGAGTATCAAGTGAGAGAAGTTATCTACCGCAAACGAAAGCTGTGTAGACCTGACAGTGTGGGAAGTAGTGGAAGTCTAGGGAAACGAGATGCTAAAATGGCTGCAGATTGGACAGAAAGGTAAGCTAATCTTTACCATCGAGTAGTTTAGATTTTATTTTCTGGTTAAATGTTGTAATTTTCGCCAATTTATTTTATTACGTTGGTTACCGATGTTTACTTTCGTGAACTTGGTAAAGATTCGCACTTTATTACCACTATCAGATATCTTGAGCTTGGAAATTTCAAAGATTCTTTGTTTTATTCGTAGTAGATTTATGCATAACCATTAGGTCGGACCTTATTTTTTTTTTGGAGGCGTTTCCCCAGGTGGAAATATCTTCTATATGCTGTAAAAACTCTGCCCTGAAAGGAATTTTATTTTTAAAATTGATTTCTCACGTCTAACGAAGCTGCTGAGACGAATGTATATAATGAAGAATGAAATATCGCCAAAAAAATTGTTATAAACTAAGATCCTCGAAGAACTCGAAACAGAAAGTCATTAAATTGGCATGTAACGACCATACTCATTCAATTTTGGTTTCAATTATATTTTTTTCTGGGTTTTGAGTTTTTTATTGTATTTTTCATTGTTGTTTCATATTCAACAGTATTTTCCCTAATTAGAAGATATGTCTTGCTACGTACAGGGCTTCCCCAAAATCACAACTGATTTGCTACAATCTGGATAGGTTTCTTCCTCATTCGATTTTTCTTTTGTTCTATTTTTTTTTAATCTATTAAATTTGTTGTTTGTTTTTTTACGAACGTTTTGAAATTGAAAACAAGCAAATTGACGTTTTTTATATTGCAAAAAGGCATTATTAAGGCTTTGTTTCTTTCAAATTCCATTGTATTTTTTCCCATTTAGAGGACATTTCTTGCTCAAAATCACTACAGATTTTAATTAATCATTTTTGAATTGTCCACCTTTGTCATTTCTTTGGTATCTTAACAGTTCTTGCTGTCTTCTCTTCTGTTCTTTTCAAACGTCGATTTTCAGGAAGATTTTTTCTCAAAGGAAATCAACATTTAGCTCCGATCGCTTTTCATTTTTTTTGTTTTTTTGTTTCCGGTGAGGTTTGGGAAATGCTCTTTTATGCACTCCCAGAGCTGGTGGTCTGTCGCTCTGGGTTGTGTGAGACTCCAGCTAAGCTGTTTACCCAATAAAACCCTTTCCTCACCGCCGAGGTGGTGTTTGGCCTTGCACCGCGGTCATTTCTGTCCTATTGTGCCCTCGTAATTTTACTCCCTCATTATCC